AGATTTATTCTGCCAAACTTAGCGAAAGTCCGACATAAAGTATTTGGTAAGTAATTATTATTATATGCTTTAACTTGCTGTAACTCTGCTTTATAAATTTTATAAAGTAAAGTTACTTCCCTACTTTATAAATCACCATTACTGTGGAACCGGTGGGCGGTTAGAAAATTTTACTACTAACAGAGATACAAAAGTGGGCAGTAGGTATAAAAAGGTTGACTACCCCTGTGTTAAAGTATAAGTTGTCTTTTCCAAATCCAATATTTCTTGTGAATTTTTTTCCACTTGGGTTAAATCATACTTCTTTGTTTTGTTAGGTTCCATCTTTAAGTCTCTATCCTCGAATTTATGTTCAGTTATCTGTTTTATCTGCTCCTTCTCTATTGTTGTGTTCTGGGATTTTCTTATTGTAAAGTTAAATTGGAGACGAATTGGTTTATATTTTCAAACTTATTTTGGATTTCTTTATGGTTTGAAATCATTGTTGTCTGAATTAGTTGCAGCATATCATATGTCTCCTCTTGAAAAATGTTTATTTTTTCTTGATAAGTTCTTTCTACAAGTCTCTGATTTTCCATGATGACCAAGAATCAAAGTTTTCTTTTCTCTGCAAATAGCTTTTGGAGTCACAGTTAAGTAGATACTTATAATCCGGAAAGTTCAAAAATGTTTTTTCCCCTAAGTTTATAAGTCTCTCTTTGTCTGCAGCCCATATTGTTTTCTTTTTTGTCACAGCTGTTCTCTATTGTTAGAGCTTTGAAGGTCACAAGCACAGATTAGTTTTTTCCAGATTTTGCCAATTCTTACATTAAAGTCATAGCTGTCATAGTCTTCATCTGCCACTAGGTGTCAGCAACTATTTGTTTTTCAATTTCCAAAATAAACAGTTGCCTTTAAAATGAGAATCTTAACCATTCAGCAATTTCATACTTATTCAAATTTAAGTTTTATATTCTTTTATTTTCATTTCAATATGTTTTAGTCCTCCATAAAAAGCCATTCGGTTTTGCCAGACTTAGCTGAAGCCCCTTGTTTCCCATCCAGACCCTCACAGCTCCAGACACCAGGTTAAGACATTCACAATATCGTTTAGTTTGCCAGTGTAAAGATATATCATCAGGCACCATCAGCATATTGATGATATCTGATTACATGGCGATGGATGAGCTTACTCAGTGGCTTCACGTATATGTTAAAAGGGGGAGGAAAAAGGACCAAACTTGAGGAACCCACATACTAGGGACCAAGGGTGGGACTTCTCCCCAATCAACACTGACTGGAATTGATTCCAAAGTAAGTGCCCTTCCTCAATCTTCTGAGCTGATTCAGAAGGAGGTCATGGTCAATGGAATTGAAAATCAGCGATCAAATAGGACAAGGATGGATGCACTAGCTCAAGGGTAGGCAACCTTGGCTCTTTTATGACACGTGGACTTCAACTCCCAGAATTCCTGAGCCAGCCATGCTGAGGGGAAAGGGAGAGGTTTCCAAGCTGAGCCCTGTTGGCTCAGGAATTCTGGGAGTTGAAGTCCACAAGTCATAAAAGAGCCAAGGTGGGCTTACCCCTGCACTAGCTATATCCCATCCATGCCAGAGCTCATTGAAAAGCACCACCACCAATACCATCTCCATCCCATCCCATATCTGAATCTTGCCTGAAAGGATCAAGATAATCCATTTCCTCCAAGGGTCTCTGAAGCTGTTGTGCAACCACCTTTTCTACTACCTAGAAAAGAGATAAGGGAGATAAGAGACTGGAACACAATTATCCCGAATGGTGAGATTTGGTGGTGGCTTCTTGAGGATAAAAGATGAACAAAAGCCACTTTAAGAGGCAAAGGAGTAACACCCTCACTCAAAGAATTAACCACCATCAGAACTCACTCACACACTGCCGTCCCTCCTCGGGCTGCTTTAACAAGCCAGGAAGGGCATGGATCTAAAAGCAGGAGGCCAAATTCACAATCCTTGAACATGCCTTTTGGAGGAATCTCCATGTAGTGGATAATATTAGGCAAATCTAGAATTTCACCTGTGGCAACTACAAATCACAGTTGTTGGAATATCCTGCATTAAAACTGTACGAATAGCAGTATAGCAGAGATCCATTCCATATGCATTGTAAGGTGCACTGTGGGGACAGCAAAATTTAGGGAGGTGTGATTGATTGATTGATTGATTGATTATTTAAATTTATATACCGCTCTATCTCCCTTACGGGACTCAGGGCAGTGAACAGGCAATAATAAAAATCACAATAAATATTAAATAAAAAGCCTGCTCTAAAATACCCCATATAAAAACCCCTACCAAAACACAATCAAAACTACGCCAGGCCAGCCGCATGGAATAGATGGGTTTTCAAGGCTTGGCGGAAGAGGCGCAGGTCCGTAGTTGTACGTAGGTCGGGGGGTAGGTCATGATGATCTCGTGCCAGCTCTGGGATAGAAAGAGACTGTAGCAAAGCAGCTTGTGAATTTGGACTATTATTTCAGATTTATTATGTCCTGTAAATCTGAAACATCCATTGTTTTGGTTTGCATAAAGCCAACTCTCTAACTAAAGCTTGTGGTGGGATACAAATCCCATTTGTGTAAACCCAAAATGATAGTTCATCAGACTATGTTGTATTGTGCAAAGAGACCGAGAGGAAAAGAATTCCTATTTAATGAGCTATTTAATATCCCAAACAGAACAAATGTAAAATGCGCATACCTAACTTCCTTTTTTTTTAATGATAATTATATTCAGCTGTTTATGTTCTCTTCTCAGGCTTTCATCTTGAAGTTGTATCATCATGAGAGAATCAGAAGAAGTGTCCAGGAGTACCTTGGACAATGAATGGAAGAGCATGAGAAAACAAAAAGAATGTGGCATATGAAAAGGATTGAATACCTGGAGGTATTAGTTGCCGTACATCTGTAAAAATGGGAGTTAATTTCTCAAAATACAAATTAGCTTAGTCAGCAAGCTTGGAGTTGTGCTATGGAACTAGGAATAAACATTTTGTCCCTTTGTTGCCAGTGACAGAAAATTGATGGATTATGATTTTCCCAAGTTGGAAATACTTGTTTTTACCTATCTAGGATATCCTTATGACTACATAAGGACTAACGCATTTCATAACTGCCTTGGTTCAGAATGGGCAATTGACTTGTCAACAACAGCAACAAAAATGGTCGACTTTATGAACTGAGACAGAGCCTTCCAATGCACTTTGTACACCCTGGGAATTACTGTGCTGTATGGCCACCTCCCGAAGGCCATGATGATTTTTAGAATAAGGATATCATCTTCCCGTTGATATCTTTGAAGAATCATAAGCTTAATCAGAAAAATGAATGGAAGCAAGGAATGTGACAGTGGGGACAAGGATGGAGGGCTGCCAGCAGTACAAGTCCCAGTTGGTTGGCAACGGAGGGTGGATCAAAATGGAGTCCTTTATATTAGGTAAGTATGCAGATATGTAACTTGGCTGAAAATGCCTTCATCGGCAGAGTTTTGTGGAATAAGAGTTGCTGAATTGGCAGGAAAATAATAGATGACTCTTACGCCCATAAACAGTAATCTCTACTATCCTGAGAAAGCAATGATAAAACAAAATGTCTAAAATTAACTCTGTCCACAAACCTGCTTAGATCACTTTTTCAAGTAGCCTCTATATTAAGAAGAACTGATTTGTGTTTTTTTAAAAAGTGCGGATAAACCTGGGTGAAAATATTTTCTGCAGTTTCTAAATACAGATTAAACAGAGAAGCTGCTGATGGAACATATTTAATAACTTTGTAGAACATAAAAGTTCAAAGAAACAGCACTAATATCTTCTTACAAAAATATTTAAAATTCCAATGTATCATGAGCCTTTTAATGCAGAAAGAGATTATTAAAAGGGCATTCGAAAAGCTCCACAGCTAATAATTAACATTATTTAATAATTAAGTTGACTTGTGGGGAATAAATTGTATTCGTTCGAGGGCATGAAAAACAAAAAAGCCCCCATTAAAAATCTGTTGTTAATATATCACTTAAAAGTCATGTTTGTATTTTCTCATAGGTTTAAATGTCTGAAACTTTACAGCTATTATTATCTGCCATAAATGTGCTTAAGAAACAAATAGGGCATATAATCATGTACAACCCAAGTGATAACGTTGGGAATCACTGAATACCACACTGTGGAAAACTGACATAATAAAAGAGGCTGACAAGTCATATACATCAATGTGTGGATGGTGAATGTCCTCAGTGTAACAATTTTTTCTATCCATTAAGTTAAGAAACATTTTAACACCCATATTTGAAGCATCCTACAGTCCTGCTTGGTTTTGGATATTTGCAAAAAAAAAAAAAAAAGTTCCATTCCTCAAATTGGATAGTCTACTGCCTCTAAATGGGTAGATTTTACATTTTTGAATGTTGTGAACTGTATGCTCAAAGTAAACATTTATCAAATCTGAAAAGTGGTAAATTTAAGATGGCTACTTGTCCTGATCCAGCAGGAAAAAATTAAGGGTTTCTTAGCTGAAACCACGTGTGTCTTCCAAGAACATTATATAAACATATTATACTCAAATTTCATAATACTGAAAATACATTGAGAGTATTGTAGAATTAAAGTTTCTTTCTGGTTCAGATTTGACCAGTTTCTTTACATGCAGAATGTTCAGGAGCTTCTCTCTTTGTATCCATGATAGAAGGGACTTGTCTTCATGTGGCACTTGTGGCAGGGAAGTTTCTTCTGGGCACATGAGCAAAAGGAGAAGAGATTGATACCTGAGTTTAGGCCTGTGTAAAATTCCTCACTTCCACATGATTGCTGTATTTTGAAGCAACAAGTGGCCCACAAGTTCTCCAAACTATTGGCTTAGAAATGCAGAAAGAAAAAGTCTAGGAGTTAAACTCAGGAATGTAGACTTCTATTCATGTTTTGATTTTTACATACTGCCGTGGGTAATCTTCTGTGTTTATATGGCTTTATTCTTCTCTGCAGTGGAAATGATTAATCTTGCGTAGTCCTATCTATGAACCATCTGCTGATTAAGTCAATTTCTAAATGTTGTTAAATGTCTGGAAAACTGAGGCTTACAACCATGTGTATGCATATCTAGAAAATGTTATCAGAATAGTGAGCTATATGTTTCAGGAAAGGGAAATTGTTTAAAGTTTCAGGAGAAATAAGGCAACAAAAGCCTATAAACAATGGGTTTATTTTTACAAAATCAAACTTGTATCTATCTAAACCAGCAGTTCTCAACCTATGGGTCGCGACCCCATTTGGGGTCGATCGACCATTTCACGGGGGTCGCCAAGCAAGGCTGTCTGCCATTTTTTTCCCCTTTTCCGGCGGGTGCCTTACCTCCCTTGGGCTGGGCCAGCTGGTGGTCGGCCTGCTCTGTCTCTGCCACTTGCCAGCTACGCCTCGGCCGGCGCAGGGGGCGGAACCACGCATACATGGCGCTCCCGGGCAGGGAAAGTCCTCGACTTACGACCGGTTTTGTAGTCCTCAATTTACGACCGGTTTAGTCCTCGACTTACGACCGGTTAGTCCTCGACTTACAACCGGTTGGGGGTCGCGGCATTAAAAAGGTTGAGAACCACTGATCTAAACCATTATTGAGACCAAATATATTTTTCTTCTTGCATTCAAAAACAGACATGCTGTTTATAAGATATCTTTTAAAAAGCAAAAAAAGAGGGGTACATTAGTATTCATAAGTTGAAGTTTATTAGAATGTACAATAAACACAACACATTTATCAGAAGTCTTTATTAGGTCATATGAAAAATGACCTAATAAAATAACATTGTAAAATCCATTAAAATACTGAATGCTAAGCTAAACCAAAATATTCAAGTAGAGTTTTTTTATACGTTTGATTTATTCGTTCAGTATGAACATTGATTTGATAATTTTTATTGCAAGACTTTTTTATTTAGCATTGTCTTAATTTTTCATTGTGCATCTTAATATATGAGTTTTTAAACTAACACAGCTAACACAAACTAATAAAGAATGAAAGAAGGAAGGAAGGAAAGAAAGGAAGGAAGGAAAGAGAAAGAAAGAATGAAAGAAGGAAGGAAAGAAAGGAAGGAAGAAAAGAAAAAGAAAGAAAGAAAGAAAGAAAGAAAGAAAGAAAGAAAGAAAGAAAGAAAGAAAAAGAAATGAAGGAAAAAAGAATAAAAAGAAGTTTCCAGTTTCCTTTGCAGCAAATACAAGTCTGGTTACGAAGTTTTTTCTTACTATATGATGCAATGGAAAGCTTGCATGCCTTGGTGATCAGGGTGAAGTAGACTTTTTTGACTGGCAGTGGTGGTTCGAGGGCTGAAGTTAAGGCCTAGGCCTCAATTCGGTCTCAGCTTCAGCATTGCCACCTAGTGCTATTGTTCAGTGTTGTCTGGATAGAGGGGAGATAGGGTTTCTCTTTTGCTTGGGGGGGGGAGATATGACACACCAACAAAGTCAAGTACAGAGAGTCCGTAACTTACAACCGTTCGCTTGGTGATCATTCAAAGCTCCAACAGCACTGAAAAAAGTGACCACTTTTCACACTATATCTATATCTTATTAATAAGTGTGAAACATTGCAGCATCCCCATGGTCACATGATTTACATTCGGATGCTTGACAACTGACTCACATTTATGATGGGTTGCAGTGTCCCTGAGTCATGCGATCACTTTTTGCAACCTTCTGACAGAAAAAGTCAATGGGGAAACCAGATTCAGTTAACAAGCATGTTACTAAGTTAACAACTGCTACGATTCTCTTAACAAATGTCGCAAGAAAAGTTGTAAAACGGGGCGAAACTCACTTAAAAATTTCTCACTTAGCAACATAAATGTTGGGCTCAGTTGTAGTCCTAAATTGAAGACTACCTTGTAAGACATTTTCCAATTTTTTGACACACTGAGCCCAAAAGTTTCACTATCGCTAGTATAAAAAACATAAGGGCCTACCACTTGTTTGCTATTTAGTAAATTCTTTACTAAGAGGCGTGGTAGCTCAGTGGCTTAATGATGCTGGAGATGGTCTCTCTTCCCGCAGTTCAGGTCCTAGCATCGCATGATAGGGTGAGCTCCCACCACTTGCCTCAGCCCCTACCCACTTAGCAGTTCAAAAGCATGTTCTATGTGAGTACAAGAAAAGTTGGTGCTTTGTGTGGCAGTTAGAATCCTGCTGGTACTGAACCTTCCCAGTTGCGACTCTCATTTGCAAGGCAGCTTCTGTGGAGGAAGAAGGGCCTTGAATGGCGCTGCAAGAAAAGCCACTTGTCTTTCTGGTTCAGAAGCTAGCTCACCCTCTTGTGGCACACAGTAGAACGCACGCAAGTATGTACCTACTGTATCAGAGCTAGTAAACCGGCAGCCAAACTACTATGCATTAGCATTGTAATCTTCTGGCTAATGTAACAATGCCATACGATCGATCGATCGATAGACAAACAGACAGATAGACAGACAGAGACAGACAGACATAAGCAGGCAGGCAGGCAGACAAACAAACTCTTTATTAAGCTAGAATTAGTTTCCTGGCTAATGTAACAGCACCATTCACAAACAAGCTAGAATTATGTGTCTAAATCAGCTACCAATATTGAAATAAATATCATATACCTAAGTACATTCCATTTAAAATTTGCAGTGTTTTATTTTGCTTATTTAATACGATGATTTAGTGGTAAAACTAATGTTCTGTGATAGTGCTGATTTGCTAAAGTACTCTTCTGTTTGTTCTAGATTTTGAAATAAAAATGGAAGAGGACTAGGATCTATGTTGAACTGCCTTATAGTACAAATTTGTTACATTCTTGATTATTATTAGTAAAATTTTACAAAATTTCATTTTTGCTCTTCACCCTGCTTCTACGGCTTCTTTTTTCTCTTGTACCTTTTCAAGAACAGTGTTAAATAGTATTAATTAGAGACAGAATTGCAATTAGAAATAAACAGTACATGTATTTCCTCCCAATTTTTCTGTAAATATATCTCAGTTGAAGCATTTCTTTGCCATTTTATAATGTGGTTTGCAATTAGAAATCCCTACACAAAGTATATATTTATTGCAAGTTTTGCAGAAAAAACGCATTTTATAAGGCAAAATTGCTTACTAAAAGTGCAGAGTAGGAAAATTACATATAAAATGCACATATCAGGAAAAAGTAATATAAAATGTCCATGAAATATCTGAATAGGTTTTTTTTTAACTACATAAATCCAGAAACTAACATAGTTGAGAAAATGAAGAAATTGGGGAAAAGTAAACTCTTGTTATAATAATTATTAATACTACATTTGGTTGTGATAAATATGAATGTTATCGCTATCAAAACATAGTTAATGTCTCATTTGAAATTATAAGTTAAAAGATCTTTTAGATTACAGAAGATATTACAAAATGGGCATTGGCTGAAGTGACAAGGGAGATTGTTAAAAAATAGAATTTAAATGGA